AAATATCGCGATCCCGATTACCTCCGCGGCCACGAAAACGCCTCTGAGAGGCCTTTCTCGCGGTGGTTACGGTACGATTAACTATGCGCGCAATAACCCTGAACTCATTACTGCTCGCTGAACTATTGCTAGTAATTCAATTAGGATTATGCGTAATTTAACCGCTACTCTTCTAAAAAATCCCGTCACATCGTCGATTATGATTTTTCTACGCTGAACCAATTCACTCAACCAAACACAAAAATTCATCCTATAGCTCTGATCAGGTTCACACGCAGAAAAAAATGTTTGGTATTTGCAACCATAATCACACGCAGAAAAAAAATGTTTGGTATTTGCAACCATAATCATATAGAGAAATAGTTGCTATAATTTACTATCAAAAAAGCCATTTTTAATTAAATTCTAAAATATAATGTTAATTATACTAGAATTTATTTAAAAAATTGCTAACCTTATATGTATATTACTACTACTATTCTTGTGGCGGAACAATAAAAAAATATGACTTACGCCAAAAATGACTATAATTTTATTTAGATTGATCATTTTTTTTTCTCTCAATGCACTTATCTGATTTGTACAAAGTGACGTTGAGTGTAAATCATTAAGATCCTAATTATTGCACTGAGAGAAAAAATATAGAGAAATGAAAATTATTTATTCGATGGGTGCTAATAACATATTTACTTACACTGATATAAAATATATATTTACTGAAAATACGCTTTTCATGACGGCAATTGTTTATTCTACTTAAAAATAGAAGAATTTAGATTAAAATAAGTACGTTCTTAGTACCCAACGAATAAATATTCGTTACTTTATATTTTTTTCTCTCAGTGTAATAGTTATTAATAATCCTTATTATTAATAAAATCCCAATTGCCACGCTGCGTTACGTGACTTATCAAGCGTCAATGAATATTCATAATAACCTTATCAGGACCCGCGTGATGATACTACCTTATATATAAACCAGATAACTGATTGGAATCAAACTGATCAACTCCATGGAATAAATTTCTAGCCGGGATTCCGTGCTGTTTCACAATATCCAGGGTGAGTCAGAAACCACATTGAATATCTTGGAAGAAAAAACCAAAGGTGACCTTAAGATGTTCGAAGCTACTCTTTTCAGAAAGAAAGCGCAACCACTATAGGAAGTTCTTTTTTCTCTCTCGATAGAATAACCACAAAAATCCGAAGATCACAGTTTCTTGTTCCTTGCTTCGAAGATATTCAAGCTGGCAATAGTTATAGACTCACCTTGCATATTTCTCTGTCGGTGTTTTACATCTCGCGCGTTTCATAAATGTCGGGCTCCCCCCGGCAACTCGAAACGCGTACATGCTGGGGATCTCGCGCGTGTCCCGGCTAATAATTTTCCGAGTCTCCCTCTTTTTTTTTCCTTTTTTGTCGAGCAAGGAAAAGTAGAGCACGTATGTACGTTTTCAAAGTGGAAGGCGAGAACGGAGGGGTCGGCTTTGTCGCCAAATCCACTCGACTCTTTCCATATCCTAGTGGCGTCGCGGAGTCGCGAGAACGTCGAAACGAGTCGTGTCCCCGAGAAACGCACGTCGTGTTACATTCCGCACGCCATTGTAATGCGCTCGCATTCTCGGCGAGGTACCAGCGACGCGTGTCGTGAGATGACATCGGGCCATACCGTGATTATTTCCTTTTCCCTTCCCGCGCTTCCCCGACTTGCGTCTCAAAGCGCCGTTCTCTGCACGTCAGCGTTGCTGACCGTAACCCGCTGGTAGCTTGAAGAAAAAGCCGTGCGCGTTCATTTTAGGCGTATCAAGCAATGACTCTCGTGTGGAATTACTTGGAATTACTTGTGTGGAATATGAGACACATTTAGTAAGTATTTCATTGTTTTCCTTTCGAACTAATAATTTATTCCCCTTGTTTTAGCTTTCGTGCGCCGCCAGCTGCGCCGATCCGTCGCGATTTATTGCGAACGACGCCGCGCCGAATGTAAACGCGGGCGAATTTATGCGTGAAGAGGAAATATTACTTGGTATTTTTCTAATTTACAAAAACACGTGCAAACGCGGAAGAGTTATTATATACGTCTCCGATCAAAACACGAGCGCGACGTAACGCGTTCCACTGAGCTATCAATCAAATACCCACCGCGCATTGACATTTTCTCTCTCTCTCTTTCTCTTCCGACGACGCAGATTCGTCGGCCCAGTTAAACAGGAATTTCGGTAAAATACCGAGGAAAATGGAAGCGCCGCGAAAGCTCCACGTGTCGCGGCGCGCCGGCTTTACGATCGCCTCGCCTCGCTGCACCACGTTACACAGCTTCAGCGAAAATGATTAACGACGTCGGGCGAGAGCGGAACGAGAACTTTCCGTACACCCGGTGGTGCACGTGCCGCCGCCGAGTGATCCAGACACGTTGGCGAGCCGTGCGGTTTTCAGACACGCCGTCCTCGTCCTCCTCGTCGTCGTCGTCGTCGTCGACGACGTTCGCGTCTCCGGAAATTCCACCATTTTTTCGCGTGCTCGTCAAAACGACGTGTGACGATGTCGAGCATACGTGACGAGAACAGGTGCGCGAGAAAAGTGCCGGCCGTCCCGCTCCCCGTCGGAGCTCGCGCCCGTAAAACGGCTGTCGTCTCTTGCGCGCGCAAAATATTAATTAAGGTACGTTACCTCGCTAAAACGCCGTATCTTACGTCGGCTTTTTCCGCTCTGCTCCGCGGAAACAAATGTTAACCTTTTATCCCCTTCTTAACCCATCCGGAGAAGTGCAAACTTCTTCATCTCCCGGCCGGGAATTCGAAAAATTCGCGCGCCGCGACATGTTAAAGCGATCGCTTCTTCGCGCGGGGCAGTTTCCTTCTTTTCGTCTCGTCCTTTTTCGAATTCGCATCCTATCGGGACACCTCCGACGCGCGCGGCAAGCGCTCGACTCGTATACGAGATATTCATCGGCGCTTTTTACATTCCGCGCCCGGCGAAGCTCGCAAATGAGTCGACTATTAATTTCAGCCGGGCACAAATAGGACGCTTAATGGCGTTCGCGAAATAATTCGTACTTCCGCAGGATGCTGATTGCGTAAATAGATCGATTAATAATCGTCAGACTATCGATTGGCTATTCACCCTTTCTGTCTCTCTCGCCTCCCTACCCCCCTCCTGTCTGTCTCTCTCTCTCCTTTCCCCTCTCTCCGTCGCAATTTTCGTTTTCTGGAAGGGAGGATCGTGGCGGAAATTAATTTTTCCTGCGAGACACTACAGAACGGCGATAATTTCTCTTCGTCCATCGGCCGTCAATTCTCCCGCGACACACGCGAAGTTAATTAATATTTGTCACATCGCTCGTCGGCACACGCGGCAGATAATAACCGGTGTCGCGTGAAAAATTAAGTTGCCCTTCGCGCGAGAGATATCGCCGCGTCGGCCGCGTCGTCCCGCGCATTTACGATCCCGCCGGGAAAATTCTCGCGGAGGAAGCGCGCGCGTCCAGCCGCGCGTCCGAGAAAATCGCTCCTTTCGGATAGCCGCGGCGGCCGAGATGCGCGCCGGTCTCGCGAAACCGGAAGGAGCGCAAGAACTCTCTTCGGGGAACGCGAGAGAGCGGCCGATCAGATTTCAATGGACGCATTTCAATCGGGGTCACTGCATACGAATTTCTCTTCGGTATGCGATGATTTATGGTTCGTTGCACGTTCTGGTTGCGGTAGCCCGGGAGAAAAAGCCTTCCTCCCCCCCGCGCCACTCCCTTTCCAAAAAGCAACGCGTGGACCGTGCACCATCGCCATCGGCGAAACGGACGAACCGGAAAGGAAGCTATCGGCGTTCCTTGTATTTCGTTTCGTCCCGCTCCGCGTGAATTACCGCGGCTGCGGCCGAGATCGAAGTGAATCCTCGCAGAAGGAGCAAATACATAAAATACGACGCCGCGAATGCACATTCCGCGGCGATAAAAAAAAACATAATCGCGTCGCTGAGCGATTATTCAGAGATCTGCACGGAGAGAGTATCGTAGTTTTCTCTTTTCATATAAATTCCTTTCGTATCTACTTCATATGATTCTCCCATAATTTTTATTTTGTTTGTCTACACTGAGAGAAAAAATATCTAAGAAATAACAAATATTTATTCGTTGGATATTAATATGCTAAAAAAAAGATTTGGTTAACAAAACAACAATTTGGTTAAAATGTGATCAACCAGATGTATGGTAGTTACAAACAAAACATTTAATTGCCGCCATTTTGTTGTGCTTAGCGACTAATATATTACTGAGAAAGTAATATTCAAGTGTACACTAAGAGAAAAAATATCTAATTATATATAATAATTTAATTTAATATAAAATAATATAAATATATATAAAAAAAATATATATATAAGAAATAAATATTTATTCGGTAAATGTTAAACACACGCGTTTACTTGTACTAAAATATTCTTCACATAAGGAAATTTTTCTGTGAAATCTTTTAAGAAAATCTTAACTTTAGATAAAAGCAATTATTAATTTTATTTAAACGACTTTGATATAAATAAATATGTTAGTAGTGAAGCCAAGTGAATATTTTCTATTTTTCAGATATTTTTCTCTCGGTGTAGTAGTACGGAAATAGACTATCAGCTAGTGCTCTATTAAGAGCAAATTTTTTCTACAACATATTCCAGTTACTGAAATATAGATGGCACATATGAAATGAGAGGATAGTCACTCACTGCAGAATATGTCGATCTACTACACGGTTACACAAAATTCAATAATACTCTTCACTACAAAATTCTCTCTATGTACGCTATCGCATATAAATAATAAATTAAAAAAAGGTAAAAATAGTGCATGTAATAACGAAATATTAATTTTTCGATAACAACGCGAGACAGTTTCTTTTGTTTAGACCATAAGAGAGGCCTGTAAATATTGCTTTGATCTTTGACAGTCTAACTTCATTGATCAGGTTCCGCTCTCTGTGTCTAATCCAATAAATTATCCAATTAAAAGTACTCACCTTCTTGGCGTCATTGTTGTTGTCGGCCGCGTGATGAGGTTGAGGACTCATTGAAGCACCATTGCTGACTGCCCCGCTTTGCGACAGAAGTTCGTCGCTACCCCTCTGCAAGCACACAATAGAGCACATTTGAGTGATAAAAATAACTCTCTTTCACGAGTCTCTCTCTCTCTCTCTCTCTCTTTCTCTAAACTCTATTCGCCACGGCGCGCGGCGTTTCGCGTTTTACACGTGATAACACGGCTGACGGAATCACCACAAATGTCGCAGCCATCATAAATCTAAATCATCCGACGATCCGCGACAACGTTAATTAGAACATTTTCGGTGCCCGCAGTACGGCGGGCGATGTTGTCGCGATACGGAGCGCGCGAGAACATCGCGAAGCGGTAATCTACGAAATAAGATTAAGCCGGACAGTTTGCTACTACTTCGCGAACGCTAATCGCGCGCCGCTCGTCCTATTTTACCGTCCCTTTCCCATAGCTTTGAAGGGGAATTGAAATAAATTATCGCGTCGAGCATCTCTCGATTACTTAAGGAGTGCAAGGAAGGCTCGCGGATATCCTCCTCAGCAGAATCCATTCGGCGTCCTGTCCTTAGAGAGAGCGCGCCGATAAATCTCGGACCTGGCGTCAAAAGAAACGGATCAGCAGCGTGCAGCAGTAAGATGCTTTTAACGCGAGTCCAAGTCTAAATGCTTAACGGAGTCTCTCAAACGCGGAAAAACGTTGCGGTTGCTCGAGCGAAGGAGCACTCTTTCTCTCTTACTCTCTCTCTCTCTCTTACGAAGACATTAATAATTAATCCACGACCATTCACCTCCTTCACGAATCACCCTTCGTGAACTGCTTCTTCTTTTACTTTCGGTTCTTTTTCCTTGGGACTGTTAATCCAGCCGTGCCCGTTAATTGCCGCGAGGAAAAATTCTAAGGACTAAGCGAGCGGAACAGCCATCGCGCTAAGAATGATACACTAGAGAGGAAACACTAATATCACTTGCCATAACGAAATATTAGTTCTCGTCCATGTATGCAAGATGATTTTTCTTAAATGCACACGGTGTCAGGAAACTAAATCTTATTTATAAAATTTTTTGTTTATATGTATAACTCTTTAATAAATAATTAGCGACGGCTAAAACCTTTTGAATATTACTCATAATGATGATCTGGAACATATGTTGATTAAATTGTGTCACCAAAGTTATCGTAATCTTGCCTAACTAAACATTATTTATATCATAAGAACTATGGCTATGAAAACTGTATAGATAGGCACATAATAACACTTTTAATGCAACTTTTAATGCCATATCTATTTCGCTTGAAGTCACTTTTTCCTTTAACCATAGAACATGTGGATATAGCAACCACAGTCTCCGTGTAATAATCGACTCGTGAGAGCGATGCAATTATTCTCTCGCCGAAACTGCAACGTGCGAATTCGTCGCTTCGCGATTTTCTCGCCTCATCTCGCATGATCTGTTATGCAGTTATGGTCACTTCTCTCGTCGAGGACGTTCAAAGGAGCGTCGCCTGCGTCAGCCACCGCTTAACGAAATATTTATCGCGGCCACCGCATCGTCACTGCATTTATTCACGAATTACGAGTTACATTATGCAGCCGGCGGTCGGCGACGCGTCTCATTGAATCTGCACAGGTGAGCTTTGACGACGACAGCAGCGACGTGGCGCGCTCAGCGGAGAGATGCGCGAAAGATAATTCATAACTCGTAAGGAAAACCACTGAGGACTCGGGGCGGCCACATCGAGACGGAATGCGAGATCAAAGACAGAGAAGACGACGGCTGGACGGCAAGCAGAAGGACGTCGCTGTGAGGTTCATCCTGAAATTTCGCTCGGATCATCGACCAACAAAGAGCAAGATTAAACTCCCCCTTCTCTTGCGATTACTTCTTCTATTCCCGCGAGCATCGCGTTCGTATAAAGAATTTCCTATCATTCCTGTGGAATTGATCTCGTAATTTGTGTATCTATCTCCTCCTGTATATTCTATTACGGAACAATATATTCTATTACATACAAGCGCGTGCACTTTGAGAAGACAATTACCGCGGACCAAAAACGCGCCGTGATTTGCGACTTCCTGCGCATAAATGATAAGAAATGAGAGGTCAGCTCAGTCGCCATTTCGACCTCCACTTTGCGAGAAAGAAACGTGTTATCCTCTCGAATTCAATGAAAAATTTATTTTTTTAATTTTTCAACGATTCCGCTTTTACACTTGACGATAACGGTCGCTAGTTAAATTAATTATTCCTTTACTCGTTAATTATTCCTTTACTTCGGTCTATAGTAACAATATTAATCTCGTCATTGTCACAATGGATGAGACGGAAAAAGGAATCTGAACAACTCTCGCGAATGAAAGAGCGTTGCTCGAAAGAAAGAGCTGTGATGTTTGCCGTGCTTCAATCAATCACGACATTCGATTCTTCCAAATGGTTAATAAAAGAACGGCATAGATGCAAGAGATTGCTTATTGTTTCACATAGCTACGTCAACTCGCAATCCAGTTATTGCCGTTTGAAGTCGCAGCATCGACGTCACTCTTCGGCTCAGCGTTAGCTCCTGGAGTTCCTCAAATGAGAGTTAGGATACCGCGTGTGATGATTCCGGACTGTGGACTGTTGAATCCTGCTCACCATTAATAAGGAAGAAGCGAATAGGAGCGAGAGAAACTCTAATAGAGATGAAAGAGAAGCTCTAAGACTGAAATGACGAGACACGTTGCAGCTTCTCTCTCACTCACTCACTTCTCCTTTATAAAAGGTGGCTCTTAACTCTCAGAAAAGAATGCCTTAGTAGAAACTCTTAGAGAAGAAACCTTCAGCAGAATGACTGACTTGTAACTTCAAGAATGCCTTAAATTTTTGTCTTGAGTAACGCACAATACTATCTGGTATCTGCAGTCTTCAACGTGTATACGAAATGTCAAAGTTTGCGGAAAATACACCTACCTGCGTGTGAGGACAAAAGTAACAATTTTGCTGTACAACTAATAATAGATAAACATTTCATAAAATATTTATAACATAATACAAACAACTCACATAATACAAATAACTCACATAATACAAATAACTCTTATACATATGTAATGACAGTCAGAATTGAGAATCATATTTCAATAAACAAATATAACCTGGACTCACGAGTGAACTAAATGAGAATTAAATATATCATGCTGAAAACATTTATGAAATATTCATCTATTGCTGATAGTCGCACATTAAAATTATTACTCTCATGTCTTTGCATACATACGTTTATTCTGGCAAATATTGGCATTTCATATAGGGAAGACCGGGGCTATATACCTCAGAGGTATGTTGCTCATATACTTTTTTTTATATCTTAAGGAAAATACTGCAAAATTATGAAATAATCTTCTTAGGACATAAACACTTTTCCCCGAGTTTCATTAAAATCGGAATAATATTACAGTTAAGAAATAGAAGAAACTGATTTGGCAATAACAAAGTAAATTTTTGAGCCTCTTAAAATTTCTATTAATATTCACTATCATGATTGAATAAAAGCGATATATTAGCTAGCTAGAATGAAATTTCTTGCTGTCGCGCCGACACACTATTATCTTGTCTCTAAAGGTAAATAATTGCGTGGTCGCAGCATGCACATGGACGATGCTTGCCTGAAGATAGCGAGAGGCGCGAGTGACTGCCGCGGCGTTTAGTCTCAGAACAGTCAACTTCATAAGACCTACAGGGTTTACCTTAATTTCTGAAGAATTCTTATTGAAACCAGCGCGCTATCGTTGTACTTTAAAATAATATGTGTTGGTAGATAGAAACATAATATTTTATGCAGAAATAACACGCGTAGAAAGACTAGTTTCACAAGTTGAAGGAATCTTCAAAGTCTTATGAAGTTGACGACTGTGAGACTAAGCGCCGCAACAGTCAATCGCGAGACTCGATCGAAGCGGACTTAGGCCCCCCCCTCTCTCTCTCTCTCTCTCTCAATAAATGGCTGCAGGCGACTTTGCGTCATATGCCCCAACGCCATTCTTGCGGACTTGGACCGCGGAGTGGAAGAAGACCGTCGCCGCTTACGCGCGAGATATCGCTTCTCGAAATAGCCCGCGGAACGCGGCCATTATTTTTATTCACGTGTCGCGACTTACCCCACAACGAAAGAGGTTTTTTCGGCCGATTGTGCGCGCGGATCAATAAAAACGTCAATAATTCCATTTGTAGACGTCGTAACGACTTGAAACAAAAATCACTGGAAAGGGGAAATTACCGCACTTCCGATAGACGTGAAAATGTTCACGTTAAAGTGGATATTATTCTATGTCAAAAATCAATGAAAAATCTTGGTTTGAATTTGTAATGCAAAGTTTTATGTTTTTAATGGGTATAATCTGAAAGAAAGCTAAAGTAATAATGGGAAGTTCACTGTAATCTAGGTATACAGAGTAACTGAATTTAAGTGGACGCTCGTGTGCAGGTAGGACTCGTTAAACTGAATGAAGAATCCTCTACCAAGTTACGAGCAATCAGGATAATTCTTGAGATCTGAATCAAAGAAAATTGGTCAGACAAAGTGTGCGATACAGTGGGACGAGCTTTGTATACAGTCTGAAGAAACATGTCTTGGATCTACTGACTGTTTCCTAGCAACGGCAAAAATCGCACGACAGTGAAGAGCGGAATACCGTTGCGAGCACCACAGTTTTATGTTACGCACAAGATTTTCGGCTGAGTGTCTATATTTACCTTTGCATAGATCAAGAAACAAGTCCAAAACGTATCACTTCAGGTCACCTGCAAAGCTCGTCTCACTTCATCGTGCGCATTGATTAATCAATTTTCTCTTTCGCTAAAATCTCGATAATTACCGTGGCAGTTTACAAAGTGGTAGAGGATTTTCTCATCCAGTTTAAACCTACCTGTACACAAGCTATCAGACACCCTACATATCCATTAACCGTTGCGTCGAACGCGAAGAGTCGCCGGTGTTCACCGTGCTAATAGAAAAATCAGTGAAGGTAGAGGAAGACGTCGCGCAATTAGAGGGGCGCATTTCTGCGAGGACGCGCATCTTCTCGTGCACGGT